AGGGACCAGCCCGGCAGAGATGGCACATACACTCTGCACAGGGGCCAGGAAACACCCAGGAATCTTTGACACAATGGAGCAGCCCCTCTGTGTGGTACTTCTGGGTTAGAGTCCTGCCCTGGCTTTTCCAGGCTAAATGTGCTTTTTTCTATCATTTTCTGCTTTTTCTACACCAGTGCTTGTGTTGGTGATGTACAGTGGCTGTTCTGGGTCAGGTTGAAGAAGGGAGCAACACTTACAGTTTACTGTGGTAAAATGATTGATTCACTGTCAACTTGAGAAGTTTACAAGTTTAACTAAGTGACTCAGCAGGGGTCAGGGTCCTCACTGTGTAAACACCCTCATCCTGAGCAAGAGGAGGGCAAGGAGATGGTGTGAGTGCTACCTACTCTGGGTGTTGGGGGTAACAGTGGTAGACTGCTTAGAACATAAGGGAGGGAAAGAGGCTTGTCCCCCACTCTTTTTGCTCGTTACTTTTGCTGTCTTCTGTCCTGTTGAACTGTTGTCTCTGTGCCATGTGCCACCCTGCATCAGAGCCAGCTGATTATGGACTGAAACCTCCACAGACTGTGAACTAAATAAACCTTTCCTTCCTTAATTTGGGGCATTGGGTATTTTGTCTCAGCAATGAGAGAAAAGTAACCAAGACAGATGGTGCAAAGAGTCTCACTGCAGTGTTCTACTGTTTCCAAATAAATATTATTCTTGGGGGGAAAAAACCAGCATTGGATCCTGGCTGGTACACAGGTCCTGGCTCTCCTCCCCAGCAGTGTGGTTTGACAGCATCACTTAATCTTTTGCTCCTCTGATTCTTCCCCACTTGCCTTAGTATATTTGTATTGCTATAACAAAGGACCTGATGACAGATGATGTATAAGGAAAAGAGGTTCATTTCGCTCACCACCATGGCGGCTGGGAAGTTCAGACAGCACAGTGTGACCATCTGGGCCAGGGTCCCTGGCTGTGTCACGTCGTGGCAGGTGGCATCATGATGGCAGGGCACAGACAGGAAGCAGAGGTCACCTGGCAGGAAAGGGAACAAGGGACTGGAGAGAGTCCAGGTTGCTCTCATAAGAAGTCGTTTTCAGGGAATTGATCCAGCCCATGAGACCCGCCATTCCCTGAGGCAGCATTAACCCCCCCCGTGAGGCTGCTACCTTCCCGCTGCCAGCCTAGGCTGCTTAGGCTTCCCATCATCTCAGCGGCATTCTGTTGGGGGCCAGGCTGCTCCCAAGCCTTTGGGGGCAAACCACACCCAGACCACAGCATCATCGCTAGAATGGGGACAACAGCAAGATCTCCAGGAGCCATGCACAAGCCCCCGTCCACAACACCTGGGTGCTCAGCAGCCGCTCCCAGGATGCCAGCAGGTGGGGCCCTTTGCTGGAGAGGCCCGGAGCGGGGCTCGGCTGCTAGACCCACCCACAAGACTCTGGGCCTTCCTGGATAGTTCTGCTTTCTCTGTTGGCTTCTCTCTCTGTCTGTTGATCAGATCTTTGACAGAGCCTTTCCTTCCAGTCTAGAGACTCTAAGACTGGCACTGGCTCCTGGATACACTGTCGTCCTCTACCCAGCACCTGAGGAGAGAGCACTGCAGCTGCCATCTGGAAGGTTCTCCAGCACGAGAGGACCAGCAGCAAAGCATCTCTTGACCACCCTCTTGGAAAGGGACCCCATGACAGACCTCTTCCCTTAGGGAGTCTCAGCCCAGGAGGGTCTTGGCTCTCCCCACCTTCAGCAGCCCCCATCTGGGGGACCAGCGACGGCCCCTTGTTGAGGGGGCTGCACACAGGGAAGTGGGATAGGGCCGCGGCATCTGCCTCTCAGCAGCAGGTGGGCAGCGCTGACAGCTCGTAATCCCACCTGGCCAGTAATGGGGCCATCATGGGATGGGTCAGTGGCCACCTGAGCTCTGGGTCCCTGTGGCGAGCTTGTGGGGGCTCCCGGTGAGGAATGGGGAGTGGCAAAGAGCCTGGAAGAGCCCCATGGAGGCAACCCCGCACGCATGGGCAGGCATGGGCGGCCACGGCTGATGTCAAGTGGACCACTGCGAAGCCAAGCTGGACCACGCACGAGCTCCCCACACCAGGAATGCCTTTGGGACGCGGGCCTGCTGGGACCAGCTCAGCCTGGGCTTCAGGGCCAAGCTCACTGTGGCTCCCATGACTTATGAGGGGACAGCTCAGCTGGCTGTCCAGTCCTAATGAGACAGAGAAGGGCAGGAAGACAGCTGGGCCGAGGTTCACATGGCCCCAGGCCTGGGGGCCCAGCCGACCCCTCCTGACCTTGGGGCCACTCCCCACGTCCTGTGTAAGACTGAGGCTCTCGGGAGCCAAGTGGCTTGGTGGGGTCACCTGCCAGTGGACCCCGGGGAGACTTTCCTGCCCTCACCTGCTTTGCTCTTGGGTTTTGAGGCTCCTCTGCAGGAGCTGGACCTCAGGGCTAGGAGTGTTCTAGAGCATGATGTCCAAATAAGCCCCCAAATATTCACCACGAGAATAAGGACGGCAATGATAATAATTATGCTGGAGGTGAAACTGATGTTTCTAAGGCGTCTTAGGAAAATTTGCTGTCATGAGTGCGCTGTGTTACAGCTGCCTGCCCGGCAGAGCAGCCTGAGACCCACCCTGGACCCGCCTCGTCCCGACTCAGCCCCCCATCCTCCCGAGGCCTGTCTGGAGGGGCGGCTGGGCGCAGGAGGGCATCGAGCGCGGTGTGCTGTGGCCTGGTGGCCTGGGCCCTGTGTGTTCTGTGTCCGGGTGTGGCCCTCGAGTCCGCTCTGGGTGGCCCTTGGGATGGTCTCTCTCCTAATTTCTCAAGAGCAACAGGATGTTCTAGGCAGCTGCTAACAGGACGTTTCCCCGTTAGCAATCTCACCCACCGAGTAATGTGTTTCTAAAATGCTGTGTGCCTAATGAGCCTCTTCAGTCTGCTCTCTCCCCAAGGGAGCCGTGTGTGTGACCCTGCGCTTGACAGGGCCAGAAGGGAATGTCCTGCCTCTTCCCCGGGGAGGGTTTTTCTATGGAAATTACCATCTTTCTGCTGCCCAAGGTGGCTCTGAAGGTGAGCTGTCCCTGCTGGTTGGAAATGCAAAGAAATAAATGTATAAAAATAGAGTAGCAATTCCTCAACTCCTCTGTAGGCTCCAAGTCCCCAGCGCCTCCTCCGGGAGCAGCAGGGAGGCCTTGAGTCGGGGCCAGGCAGCTGAGCACAGCAGTCGGCTCTGCCGGCCACTGCCTGCCGGCCGGCCCTGTCCCCAGAGAGCCTCGGGCACCTGCCACGCATGTGTATGTGTGTGTGTGCACTGCCTGCACAGTGTGCACACGTGTGTGTGTGTGTGTGTGTGTGTGGATGGGGTTCCCGGCCTGAGGACCCAGAAGGCACCCGACCCGAGCAGCTGCCCGGGCCTGGCCTTAGCCTGCTCCCGTCTTGGCCAGGGCCGCACTCTCGGCTTCTCGCCCCACCCGCTGCTGTGGTCTCCCCGACAGCCCCGTCGCCGGCTTGAGCCTTCACCCCGGCTGTCAGTTTTCCTTGTCTGAGCAGACAGCGGGGTGAGGAGAGAGCTTCCGGCAGAGTCTGCCACGCTGGCTTCCGCCGGCTGCTCGTTTGTGAAGTGGGGACAGTACCTCGTCCTGAAGATGCCTGTTGTCTGCCCTGGATGAGACACGTGCTAGGGCGATGGCACAGCTGTGCAGACGGTGGAGGTGCCATCCTGGGTGGTGCGGTGGAGCCCTGCAGGGTCCACTCCCCAGGACGGCTGCTGTCCTGGCCAGGTGCGACCCCAGGGGCAGGTCGGGTGCAGAGCAGACCTGGCGGAGCCCGCCTGAGGGTCATGTTGGGCCCTGCACAGTGCTTCCGCGGGGGTGGGGTGGGCGCAGCTCCGCAGGTCAGGAAGGCAGCGGGCACCAGAGCCCCCGGGCAAGGGAGGCAAGCTGTGACCCCTCCGGTGGAGGACTGAGCAGGGTGCCGGGCAGGGCGGCCCGACGCAGCGCCGAGACTCACGGTCCCTGGGCGGGCCCCTGTTTTCCCGGGGAGGACAGGGCAGCCATGCGCAGGAGCCATGCTGGGTGCCAGCGCGGCTCCCTAGTGTCCTCGTGCTGGGTGGAGTCTCGCAGTTTCAGGAGCACATCTGGGCCTGCTGGAAGCCGAGTGGCTCCCCGAGTTGTTGGTTTGGTTGCTGCGGAGTCTGAGCTGGCGGCACATCCGCTGCCCGCCGTGGAACTCTATCCCGTGATGGGACAGCACTGCCCTGATCCAGGGCGTCTTGCTCACCAGCACCTCCAGTTGGTCTGTGTGACACCAACACGCGTATGTTTGGCACTGCCACACACACATGGGATCCTGGTCACTTCTGACCCCGTCCCCCTCTCCTCTCCCCCTCCCCTTCCCTGCCCCTCTCCCTCCCCTCCCCTGTCTCCTACCAGCTCTCCTTTACCTTGCTATTTAAACTGTTTATATTTTGGATTTCTCATGTGAGAGAAACCATGTGATACTTAACCTTCTGTGTCTCATTTATTTCTCTTCACATTGTGGTCCCTAGATCCCTCCATTTTCCTACAAATTACTCGAGTTTGTCCTTCGTGGCGGCAGTGTGTGTGTGTACCAAGCCCGCGCGGTGCGTTCGTCCACACGCGGGCACCGCGGGCTGTTTCCACGATGCACCGCCCGCTGGAGACGCGGGTGTGCGCGATCACTGTGACACAAAGACGCGAACTCTTTAGGGACATACCCGGAGAGGAGCCGCTGGTCGAGCGGGATTTTTAGGTGTAGTTTTCTGAGGACTCTGGTTGCTGATTTGCACAGTGGTTGCGCTGGTCTGCACTTTGACCAGCAGTGTAGCTCCCCGCACCTGCAGGTCGGTTCTGAGTCCCGGATCACAGCCGCGAGACCGGCAGCGCGGGCCCTGCTGGTGCTCCGTGCACAGGGCGGGCTCTTGCGGAGCCGCCACGCTGTGACCCCAGGCTGCCGCCGCCGCCGCTGACCCTCCCCTCTTCCTCCAGGGGCCTCCGCAGACAGCCTGGACAGCCTCAGCAGGGCCCTGGGCGTCCTGGAGGAGCGAGTGAACCGCACCCGCCGGAGGGTGCGCAGACACACGGCGGACGACGACTACAACATCGAGGTGCTGCTGGGCGTGGACGACTCTGTGGTCCAGTTCCACGGGAAGGAGCACGTGCAGAAGTACCTGCTGACGCTCATGAACATCGTGAGTGGGGCGGGGCTCGGCTCGTGGGCGGGGCGTCGGATGGGGCGGGGCCTCGGGCAGGGCGGGGCCTCGCGGGTCCGGGGGCGGGGCTTGTCCAGTGAGGCACGGGTGGGCAAGGTCCCCTGCCTTCTAGAAGTAGAGAGGGGCTGGATGTGGCTCTGAGGGCCATGCTAACTCACTGGGGGTATTGCTTCCCTCCTCATCAACAGCAAGATATGTGATCTCCCTTTGCACAGGAGAATGAGAATTAGTCTTCTGCCCCCTTCGTCTCAGACCCTCTTCTCACATCTGCTGCGTGCTCCCTGCGAGCGCCTAGAGCCCCAGGGTTTAGACCCCACCGACTCACACCCTGCCAGGCCTGTCTCTGGCGTTTCTTCCTGCAAACCGGAAAAATAGCACTTTTAATTTATTAAAATAGTCTATACTTAACACCGAGGATACATTATTTATGCTACGAACTTGGAACAGATTCGTGTAGGTCCGCTCCCGTGATTTACTCCGCTTGCTATTTCTGTGACGTGTTCACACAGCAAGGCTCGTTTCCTTGCAGAGGTCAAACACACCACCAGCTGCATCACACTGTCACTCATCCTTAATTGTCTCCTTAAACCGTGGTCCTAAAAGGGGCACCCTGGTCAGCGGGTCACATGGACGGTTTTCTGCTATGGCCGCATCTGTTGGTGCTCCTTGAGCAGAGGTCTGTCTCCCTCCAACACTGTCAAGTCCTCTGTAGCTGTGGTTATTTGATAGTTACAACTGGGACTTTTTTATGTAATAAGTTGAATTTATTGGATGGTAATGACATTACATTTTCAAATACATGCATATTTAAATCTGAGGTTTTTTTTCTTAGTAAATGACCCATTCCGTTCCCTTTTTCTACTTTAGTCTTCTCAAAGTAGAATATTTATTGTATTTTAGCCTCTTTCCTGTTGATCTAAAGAGTCTTTATATTCACATAGGTTGACTTTTTGCCTGTCACATGTGTGGGAAATAGTTTCCCCAGTTTTATTGTTTGCCCTTTGTTTTGTTCTGCTTGGAATGGTTTTTGATAACTTATACTTTTGTGTCTAGTCAAATCTTAGGTCTCCCTTGCCAGTCTCTCCCTCGGGTGATGTGTGTGACACTTCATGACGTCCCCAGAAGTTAATCTTGGGAAGCTTCACTCTGCTTGTCCCTGAAATTGAAGCCTAGCAGTAGCAGCAGAACTTTCCAAACTGTGGGGCTGCACTGACCACTTGGCCATTCTTGTTACACCTGTGTTCAGCTACAGCAGCCCAGAGCGTTTCCCAGAGTGAGAGGATGGAGAGAGGTCACAGGCTGAGGAAGACACAGTGGAGAAACACTCCTGAGGAGGTGCAGTCACTTCCTCATGGCTGGGACAAAACATCTGACACACACAAGTTCAAAGAGGAAAGACTTATTTTGTAGTTTGTAGAGGTTTCAGTCCATAGCTGCCTGGCTCCTAGGCCGGGCATCATAGCAGAGGAGAAACAGTCCATGGCAGAGCAGGCAGGAAGCAGTGCGCCTGCCTCCTTTCCCTTTTATTTGTCCAGGCTGCAAGCCTATTGGTTGGTGCCTCCTGCACCCAGAGTGGGGTTTCCCTCTTTAGTAAGTCCATCACTCACACCTAGAACTATGCTAAACCCATCAGTGGACTAATCTAGTATCTCACACCCAGGAGTTGGTCTCCTCCCGAAAGCTCCACCAATAGGCACACGAGGCTTAGAGGGGAACATCTAGATACAAAGCACAAGGTGGGATGCGAGTCAGCCAAAGGCCATGTTGTGATCCACAGACTTGTCTTACACAGCACATGTTGGGAGGTAAAATGAGGAGATATTTCAGGATGGCAGCAGCAGAACATTAACCCAAAAGTGCAGGGCCCTTCATTTACCTGCCATCAAAGTAGCCAAACCTACAGGATGAGCATAGGTCTCTGAGGCTGTACTCAGGCTTTCCAGCCCAGGGGACTCTGCCCTGTTCTCTGGCTGTGCGTCTCACCACTCGCCTTGGGACGCCTTCTCCACAACCTTCCCTGTCTCTGTTTGTTCACATGCTACATCTTGGAGACACATCCCAAAGCTATCTCCAGTCCCAGCTCTGTGCTTGGATGAAGAAAGCTGAGCCCAACAGAGTGCTAGGTGTGCAAGACCACGGCCAAGCTGAGAGGCTGTGACAGTGTCCTACTGTCAGCATATAGTCAGTTTCCATCTGGGGTGAGAGGTCCTGAGAACAAGGTGCCACAGATGGAAAGAAAAAGAAGAGAGACAAAGTTATGGGATGAGGGGGCAGCAGCCTCTCAGACTGAAGCCTTGATTACAATCCGCTTTAGCCTTTCATCGGGATACAAGCCAAAGCAGCAACAGGGTACATGGGAGGAATAATTAACAGGATTAGGGAGGACAATACAACTTAATTATCACAAGAATGAGACTTACTTAGCCATACTGTTACATAATGCTATCATTCCTTTGGGTACATCTCAACAAGGCCTGTAGTGCTGTCCCAGTGGCTTTCCACAGGGACTAAGGTCCTGCTGTCATTTTCTTTACGCTTTTACTAGACCTCCTCCAGCATCAAACAATCATATGGCTCGGTCAGGCTCAAAGTCCCACATAGGTAATACACTGAAAGGTGAACTATAGAATGTCCTTCTTCACATGCTGTGAGGTCCTCTACACTGATGTTTCCCTCTCCCACAGATGTAGCCCTCAAGGTGGCTGGATAAGCCCAGTATTCTTGAGCTCGGTGGTTGTTAGTTCAGTCAGAGAAGCTGGAAGTCTTTGGGGACTGTATTAGTCTGTTTTCTATTACTGTAATGAAACACCCAAGGCTGGGTACTTTATTAAAAAGTGGGTCTCTTCAGTTCACAGTTCTGGTGTTCACGGGAATGGCCCCAGCATGGGTTCAGCCCTGGGGAGTGGCATGGCAATGGCAAGAAAGCAGGGGTGAGGGAAAGATCACTGGTGGGAGAGGAAGCGAGAGGCCAGGAGGCTCCAGGCTTGCTTTGCTAGAGAACCACCTCGATCCCGTGCAAGGCCACGCTCCCATGACCCAAAGGCCTCACACAAAGCCCTGCCTCTTAAAGGTCCCACCACCTCGATACTGCCAGGCTGAGGGTGAGGCACTGTCTGCTGACCAGCCTCAGGCAGCCATCCTATGTGGTGCCCCTGCCATGTGCGTGGGGCCTCGGCTGAGCCTCCGTTCCCTGGGGCTTGGGTGTGTATGTGCGGTCACAAACTTGATCTGGCAGCCCCTGGCCTCGCCTTGGCTTGCACAGTGGACACTGTGGCAGAGTGGGTCTGGACCTGCCTAGGCAGTGGGCGGGGTCCAGATGCACACACTGCCACACTAGGATGTGGCCTGATATGGTGGCACATTGAGTTACTGCACTAGGCTCACACAGCGGCTGTGAGTTAGGGATGCATGCCCCCCCCACACACACACGGAACTAGAGACATTGTTATTGTGATTCCACCTTACGTACAGGTGGGGGGTGGGGAGATAGAAGTGCACCGGCAGACAGTTCTGTTGTGTGAATAGTACATGTGGCCAAGCAGAGGGCGCAGAGGGCGCAGAGGGCCTCGAGGAAGGCAGCTCTTGGTTTTGTGTGTGTGTGTGTGTGTGTGTGTGTGTCTGTGGTGCTGGGGATTGAGCCCAGGGCTTCTCAGTGAGCTACATCCCCAGCCCTTTTTTTAAATTTTGAGACAGGGTCTCACTCAGTTGCTCAGACTGGGCTCAAATTTGTGATCCTCCTGCCTCAGCCTCTGAGGGGCTGTGGGGGCACAGGTGTGTACCACCACACCCTGCCTGTGAGGCAGCCTCCTCAGTCAGGGTAAACAGTAAGTGCATGCGGCTGCTGGCGACATTGCTGACACACTGTTTTAGACTTCTTTAATTAGTGGAAGTGCACTCTAAAATGAGAAGCGTGTGGTGTGTGAGTACCTGGACCAGGCGTGTGTGGATTATCATGATCAAATACCAGGTGGTGAGTGCAGTCATCCGGGCTACGTCTCTGTAGGATGGCAGCTCGGCAGTGTGGTTACAGCGCCATCCCCACAGAACGTGCGCGGTGCATTGTTCTGCCGCACTAGGATGGCTGCAGTGTGGAGGCCATGGTGACCACCGCTCTTCTGATGCTCAGCACCCTAAAACATTCATTTTACATTAAATTTGGACATGTTACTGCACGGAGGCAAAATTCACATGAAGCTGTCCAGATAAGCTGGAGATTCTAAAACAGGGTTGGCAAATTCCAACCCAAGAGCCAAATGTGGCCCTTTGGCTATTTTTGTAAATAAAGTTTTATTGGAACACAGCTATGCCTTTTTTATTTATGAATTGCCTAGGTCTGCTTTTGTGCTGAAGTGACAGAGCTGGGACAGAGATCATAGGACCTAGAAAGCTGAAAATATCCATTCTCTGGTGCTGAAGAAAGAGTTGTTGTTGGGCCTTTGAGAGACCTCCGTGCCTGAAGCCCACCTTGAGCTCTGGCCCAGCCCTCTACATTTGCTTTAGCATCTGTATGCAAGCGCATCTGGGGAGCAGCGAGCAATGAGGGGCCCCCCTTGGACTCTGGAGCAGCCTCATTCCCATCCTGCCTTTTACCTACCTGGCAAAGTGCCCCAGTCCTGAACTTGGTCTCCTCGTCTTTAAACTGGGGACTCTACCACCTCCCACACTCTGAACCTCCAGGCAGGCCTGACGGCCCTTGGCAAGAGGGGAGGTCCCCGCAGACAAGCAGGCAGACGAGTTGTCTCCTGCCCGCCTCCATCCTCTGCAGCTGGGGCAGCTGCTTCCTAAAGGCGTGGCAGTGACCTCACGCTTGAGTCGAACTCTACCCCGGTCCTGCTCAGACCCTAGCCCCTCCCGCCTCCACCCAAATCGACAGCTCAGAGGCTCTGCGGAAGTCGCTTTGGGGGTTCTTTCTCAAGGACTGAACTAACAGACCTTAACAATCACTTAAGACAGCTGAGCAAGAGGGGCAGCTTTCTGGG